TACAGTACATCTCTCCTGTTTCAGAGCTTATGTTAAAAAAAAGGCGTTATCACAAAGCTTTTGATTCCCCTCTCTCCACTTTTGTCTAGCCATCTATAAGTATTGCAAGGCAGTACACTGTTGTTTTTCCTTGCACAGATTTCATCGCATGTTTATATTCTGATTCTTAAAAGAGGTTTGCTCAAAGAATGTCCATTGGACAAATGCTACGATGGCTTTAGTCATTTAAAAGTTCCTGCCAGGATGCATTTTTAGTTGCCATGAAATCAGAAGACTATATTACTCTTGCAAAAGCTTGGTCCATATTTTCCTGATCATCAGGTGTCATCTTGTCACAAATGAAGATAGTATGTTTTGGATGTAGTTGTTTGGTGTACTTGAAGATGCTGTTGCTAACAGGAAACTATTTGCGATAATGCTAGAGCTCTTAAAGGAACAGAAAGAGAACTTCCGGAGCCAAAGTGTTGGGACAAAAACTTATTGCCCTCTCATCAATGTGCTCCTCTTCACTTAAACCTACGAATGAATTTTTACTTTCCACGCAACACTATTTACATGATAAACAGATATATTTTGTCATTCTAGTATATTTCATTTGACAATATCTAAATCTTTTTTTTTTCTTGCAGTGAAGAAACAGCTCCATGTACTATGTGCTGGTCTTATCATTTAGCTGAGAAGAGGGAAAGAAAAATAATTTATTGACTAACTGCCAGTTAGTCAATAAATTATTTATTGACTAACTGCCAGTAAAAACTAAGCAATGCAAATAATAATTTAATTCCTACTAATATGATGCTTTGTACACTACAAAGCATCGTATTAGTAGGAATTAAATTATTATTTACATAAGGGTTCTAAGAATAAACTAATGCAGTTAAAATATGGTTCAATGTCATGAATTTGGTTAAATTTAAACTCAGACCTTTCTACTAGGTATATTTTCAGTTCCTTTATGTTGTTATATACTTTCTCCCTGTCTGTTGAGCCCTAGAGGACAGAAACACCCACCAACTATACCAACAAGAAGAAGCCCTCTGGCAAAGAAGAAACTAAAACCTCTTTCTCTTTCTTGTGATAATCGAAGTGTCTCCTGGAGGCAAAAATGCCAGTAGAGAAGTTAGAAATGGAGGGCTTGCCCTGACCAGCTAAGACAGCTGCATACCTCAGCCCCAGAGATCCTATGCTGAACTTCACTCACCTGTACCTCTAGGGTCTAGAGGGGTAGTTGGCATCAATAAATTCGGGTTTTTGAATGTCTACAGGAAAAATGTGTGATGGAGAAACCAAAAAAAGGTGTCCTCATTATCCTGCAAAAGAGGACCATAACATAAATTACCTGATACCTTAATCAGGAGAGAGAGACATAGCTCTTAGCCTTGATAAGGGACTGCTAGTAATATAGCCAGTGGTACTCAATAAACAAAACTTAACAAATGGGCTTTTTAGTGTGCTCCTCCCATGAATGACATAACACAGATGTGTGGGATTATATTAGGAAACAGTGGCAATACCCCTTAAGTATTGAATTAAATGAGATATTCAGATCGTTTAAATGCAACAATCTTGCTTTTCTAAGACAGGTACAGCTTTACCTCTGAATGGTAGATGCAGATAAGATCACTAAAAAGCAACTTAAGAAAGATACAGGCAACCCATCTGTTCCTGAGGTCCAGTTGTATAAAGTAGCCATCGTTGGAGTGATCCCCACAGAAGTTCACAGGATATTGCTATCACCTACAGAAAAAATGATCCATCTAGAGACTTGGCCTGTATAATGAAAATTATCAAATGTTAACAAGAAAATAGCCAGTGTGAAGCATTGATGTACGTCTTGGAGATTGTGATCCTTTGAGCAGTAGGAGGTCAAAGAACAGTAGGAGGTCAAAGAACAGAGTCCGAGGAAGGCAGAAGACTACTTAGATATGGGATCTCTTTTTAATCATATTATCCCAGGATGCTGGAATGATTGTATCAGGAGCTGTTTCCAGGAACAGACATTGCAGAAGGAATAGAGCTTGACTCAGTAGATGTGAGGAAAGTTGATTGGCCGTTTTCCTCAAAACAAGTACACTTCAGAAGAGGCAGCAACATGCCCTGACTTATTTTGAATAAGACCAATAAGTTATCACAGGCACCAGTGTGTCATTCTCTAATGTGCATTGAGCATTTAGCTGCAGTTTTTAGACAAAGAACATTTATTTATTTATTTAAAACATTTCTATGCCGCCCCAATCGCAACAAAGCCTCGGGAGGCTCACAAAGGATACATAAATACATAAATACATAAATAATAACAATATAACAATTCAAAAAAATAGTTTAAAAACCCCCGGTGCATTCTCGGCTAAAAATTTAAAATCCTATTAATTCAAATAATTTAACAATTAAAATAAGTTTTAAATGAAAAGGTCTTAGCCTGGCGCCGAAAAACAAATAACAATGGCGCCAGGTGGACCTGTCTGGGGAGCGCATTCCATAGATGGGGCGCCACCGCAGAGAAAGCCCTCCTCTGAGTACTCACCCTCCTAATATCATTCACAGAGGGTTCCTAGAGAAGGGCATCTGTTGCTGATCTCAAGGGGCGGAAGGGCATATATGGACGCAAGCATTCCTTTAGATATCCAGGTCCCAAGCCGTTGAGGGCTTTAAAGGTCATAACCAACACCTTGAATTGGGCCCGGACTTCAATCGGGAGCCAGTGGAGCTGCCGGAGAACTGGGGTTATATGAGAACAACGCCCAGTCCCCGTCAGCAGCCTGGCATCTCTATTCTGTACCAATTGAAATATCCGGACCGTCTTCAAGGGTAGCCCCACATAGAGCGTGTTACAGAAATTTAATCGGGAAGTTACCAGCGCGTGTGTCACTGTCGCCAGGCAGTCGTTCTCCGGGAAGGGACACAGCTGATGTATCAGCCAAAGCTGAAGGAAGGCACTCCTCACCACCGCTGTCACCTGAGCTTCTAGAGACAGCTCAGGGTCGAGGAGCACTCCTAAGCTGCGAAGCTGTCCCTCAGAGGGAGTGCAGCCCCATTTAGGACAAGGCCCAAGTCCCCCATCCCGAGTCCCGAGCCACCCACCAACAGGACCTCCATCTTGTCTGGATTAAGCTTCAGTTTATTGGCCCTCATCCAGCCCATTACCTCGGCCAGGCATCGGTTCAGTACAGCCACTGCCTCACCTGGATTGGTGGAAAACGAGAGGTAGAGCTGGGTATCATCAGCATACTGATGATTCCGCAGCCCACACCTCCTAATGACCTCTCCCAGCAGTTTCATGTAGATGTTAAATAGCAAAGGGGACAAAATGGACCCCTGAGGAACTCCATGGCATAGCTGCCATGGCGCAGAGCCATAGTCCCCCAGCACCACCTTCTGAAATCGGCCATTGAGATAGGAGCGGAACCACCGCCACGCAGTGCCTCCCAATCCCACTAGCCTATTCAGAAGGATACCATGGTCAATGGTATCAAAAGCCGCTGAGAGGTCCAGGAGAACTAACAGGGACGCACTCCCCCGTCTCTCTCCCCGCACAGGTCATCGTACAGGGCGACCAAGGCAGATTCAGTGCCATACCCGGGTCTGAAGCTGGACTGAAATGGGTCCAGATAATCAGTTTCATCCAAGAGTGCTTTATAAGAATCTGTTTCTAGTTACAATAATGTTGTCCTCCCTTACATGTTTAATTCTTTGTTTTTAATTATTTCACACATGTGTTTGTGTCCTGCCCTTTAAGGAGCCTGGGCCTGCATGCATATTTTCTATCTTCCTTTCTCTACTCTGAGCCAGGATTCTAAACATGAAAACTTAAATATGACCTGGATTTCATGACATAACATCCCATTATGGGTTGATTACCTTTTAGGGGCTGCAGCACATATTTATGATATACCCCTGACCTGTCTGTCACTGGTGGCATTTGCATGTTCATAATGGGGCTGGCACCACCACAATGCCTCAAGGGAAATTAGTTCTTGGTACAGACTGGTGTATTATAACTTCCCCAGCCTGGAGCTTTGCAGATAAGTTGGACTGCAACATCTAGTATCCTCAGCCAGCAAGGCTGTTAACTGTCTTGGTGGATGATAGGAGTACTCTGGAGGGCAGAAGATATGGTAAAGTTGGCTTACAGTTAAATGTAACAAATGAATATATGTAGAATGGTAAATCTTACAGTGACTCCCATTGTTAATCCTTTGTTAAAGGGAACCTTTATATGATCAACTGGGTAATTTCTGCATGAAGCTTCCCATGCCTTAAGATCTATATCAGAGGCTCTCCTCAGCTTCCATGTAGTGGGTGGATTATAATAGGTTGGGGAAAAGAGCCTTCTTAATGGTGGCAGCTAAGCTGTTCACCTGGGCTGAATCTGGTAAGTTTTAGAATCCAGGCCAGGAGCTCTCTATTTGCACACAGATCCCATCAGTTTTTAGCCACTGTTTTATGTTATGTTATGCTTGTTTGCTTTAACACATTTTTCTTTTGATGCGCCAATTTGAAAACCTTAAGTAAAGTCAAGAACAGGTACTTGCAACTGCATACTGCCCCACATATTTTGTTTGTGTATTATAATTGAGAGGTGTCAAGTGTAGAGGCGTGTATGTCCTATTCTGTAATAGTGCAGGAATTTCAAATTAGGGAAGCTTCAAAACCAAATTTGAGAAATTTGAACATTGTCTGGTTTCGTTGTTAAGTCTCATACAGCTGTAATATTTTTGTGATGACAAAACTGTTTGCTTATTGACAGATGAACGTATTCCCCAGCTGCTAGAAATTGTGTCATAGAATGTTGCATCTTAAGGTTATTGCATTTATACTTTTTCAAATAAAGGCAGTGACTGAGTAACAACAATAGTGACAATAATTTTGCATTGATATATAAATCATGTAGAAATGTTGAAAGGGAAGAAGCAATATCTTAAACTGGACAAATGAGCAATTACTGTATTTTCTGTTAATATTGTAGTCTGATAATACATCCACATTTTAATGTTTTGCAGGTACAGGAGAAAGTGGCAAAAGCACATTTATCAAACAGATGAGAATTATTCATGGTTCAGGATACTCTGATGAAGACAAAAGGGGGTTCACAAAACTTGTGTATCAGAATATATTCACAGCGATGCAGTCTATGATCAGAGCCATGGACACACTGAGAATCCCATACAACTATGAACATAATAAGGTAAGCGTTTTGCATTAAATACACAGCAGAGTTTTTTCCAACTATACTTTTAGGAATTGCATCAGACAGCTTTGAACTCATGGATTTGCTTTACCAGGTTCTAGAAGGAAAAATTGGTAGCAATGCTGAAAGAGAATTCAGCTCTGATATTTTTCTTGATCATTTTCCTTCTGATTTCAGAGGGTGGCAGAAAGATCTCCGGAGGAGACATTTAAGTAGTGTTGTGACCCTGTTTCAGGGCCAGTCTTGTGAACTGGCTTCTCTAGCTTGCACTTTGTTAAGTGTTAAACCTATCTGTGTTGAAGAACTTTAGACAGCAAGTGAGAGCTCACATGCTCAAATGTTCCTCACTTCCCATAGAAAACTAGTATGATTCTAGCCAAAATTTTCTCCAGTATGCTAATTGTCCATGTGGAAGGAATTGTCCTATATGGAGGCATGAGTTCCCAGTTACAATTTGAACTGATACAGTACAGACTTTGAGACTTGGTGATTTATCCATTCTTGACCCATAATGGAATGCCTTAGGCTATTTTATTGGCAGCCTGTCTACCTGAATACCACTTAGATGTATAATACAATTGTTTGTAGTGAAAGGAGCAGTGCTGAATAACAGAATGAATCTTGCAATAACTCTGCATTCAAAATATCATTAACAAGAGATAAAAACAATTTTGCTAAAGGTTCTTAAGCTTTTCTGGTGTTGACTATGGAAAGAGATAGAAGATTTCAAGAGAGAGAGAGGGATGCTTTGTGAAAATAATTCCACAAGTATCCAGGGATCCAGATTGCTCCTTGATAACGTGTATATACACAAAGCTAGATGCACAAATGATTTGGAGTATGCTGGGCTGGGCTGGGGGATAGAGTTTTATTCAATTGCATTTCAACTGTTTTCAAATGTAGCTTGGTTTCAATTTATTTAATTTATTTGTTGGTAAGAGCTACAGGTCTTTCATTTCTGACCTTGTGAACTACATAAAGTATATGCTATAGAGATACAGTGGTTGTTTCTCATGCTATACTGCCAACCTCCCCTCCCCCACAAAAAACCCTTTCTTTTTCTAAAAGAAATAATGAAATGCTAACTTTTTAAAAGTACTGGAATTTTGTTTGCAGAAAATTAATTCCTCAATATCAGAAAGCTCTCCGCAGGAGACATTTGAAAACTCCTGCATTTGTCAACAAGTTTTGTGGAAAAGGAAAGGTTAAATGGCACTGGCTAGGCTTGTGTTCAAATTTCTAAAATTTCCCATTATGGTGAAATGAAGCGAGGGGAAGGCTGTTTGGCTTATGCCTAATTGGCATTATTTTGAAGTCAAATACTTATTTAAATGCAAGTATCTATTATTGTATGCCTCACAAGAATTGAGTGAAACTTAAAAATACGTCTTTTTGGAGTTAGTATTGCTAACTGCAGGTGTTGTTTTTGTTGTGCCCTTGTTAGTGTTTGGTGACTCTCTAAAGACTAGTTTATTTTAGTTGTTCAACACAGCAGCTTCATGGTAAATTGTTTTGTTGGGCACCTCTAATGTAGAAATTTTAAACATGGTTGCATGAGTTAAATCAGTCAAAACCTTGATAGAGTACAATCCTATGCCAGTTTAGATAGCATAGCTGGCTGGGGCATGCTGAGAGTGCTTTTCTCTGCCTAAACTTGCTTAGCATTGCACCGTTATGGTATACTTAGAGTTGTTTCACCTAGAAACAATTGCAATGTTTGTCTCCTATCCATTAAACTAAAAATACCATGTTCTGCTGGAATGGTACTTCAGCTTGTACTTGAGTGAAAGCCAGAGCACATGTTATAACCTGTGTGGGTGTGGTGGTGTGTGGAGTTTGATTTGGACTACAGTGCCAGGAATTATGCCGCATTGGCATAATTGATTTTAGTGGAACTGTGCATTAATGGACACATTACATTTGTTACATGAAACACTCATTTGAAATATTTGTGCAAAAAACACACACACAATATGATTTAAATATTATATTACGTTCAAATGTTTTATAGATTGGTTTTATTTGTGTTAATTCAGACAATGCTGTGCTTTACTGTATCACCGTCTGAGGGCTCAAGGTGAAGGACAGTATAGAAAAGCTTTATAATAATAATTATTATTATTACTATTATTATTATTATTATTATTTAAGAAGAAAGGAAGAAGTACTGAAACCTCTAAACGTGCTAATTATTTTTAGTACAATGAAGATGAAGCTGTCACATCACTGAAGTTAAGCAATTCTGGGCCTGGTAACTGCTTAGAGGGGAGACCACCTGGGAACTGCTTGCAGCCACCTTGAGTTGAAGAAATAACATTGCAGGGTGTGAGGCAATAAAGTGCTTCTGAAACACTTTGTGAAGGAACACAGAGGAAAGGAAAGGTGGGAATCTTAGTTCGCAGTACGCTTTCAGCATTGCAAGAAAGATCATACCAGACTAGGATTCTCTCAGGAACTGCAGTCATGTCTCCTGCTGGTACTTTTAATGATCCCCAGAGCATATGACACGAAGTAAGAGTGCTTCATCTTCAGAAACAGCAGAAACATCTTCAGAAAAGCAGGAGCTCATTTGACTTGGTGATTTGGAGGTACAATCTGCAGTAGCTAGTGTTTTTTGCTTCTCTGGGAGCCTCCTGACCTTAGGTGCACAACTGACATAAATGTCTTCTCTTCCAGCTCTCTAAGCTTAATAGTCAAAATGTTTGGATCCCTTGATGAAGACCCTCTCTTTTGTAGGTGTAACTCATCCCCAACCCTGCTTTGTTTTCTTCATTTTGATTTCCTGTGTTTGATAGCATACCAATATATCTCTTGCTTGAAGGGGGAAGGGACAGTGTTTCTCAACAAATGTACATTCCAAACACTGTCATTTATGCTAAAGGTATAGATTTGATTTGAACTAAAAGCCATGACAATTGTATAAACAGGTATTTTCACCTTGTTTTTGAGATAGTACATTGTTTTACTGCACTCTTTGTCCCTTATTTTAACTTAGGTAATTATACTTGGAGAAATACGGTAGCAGAAATTATGCAAGACTCCTTCAAGGATCACTTGAACAGGAGTCTGTAGAATACTAAATAGGGCTTTTAACAGCTTTTTACACCTGCAGGGCTCATTTTGTAATTTCTCAGACTGCACTCTGGACTGCTTATAGTTGTGCAGAAGCAGTTGGTTTCTAGCTTGACTTGTGCAGTTACTTTAATTGTAGGCCGTCTGACCAAAAACATAGCAATAAAATCTTAAGATATATATCTTGAGGATATGTCAGTCTGATAACGCACCTTTTAGACAATGAAACTGGATGCGCTTACTCTGCAGTTGATAACAACAGATGTTAACCAGCTTGTAAGTTATATAGATACTCAGCCAGCTCCGAGGACTCTGTGCCCCTTGTTGCCTTCCCCCATGTGTTTGTGAGCGTGTGCGCGTCATTTGCCTGGTTCAGCCCTTTCATCAAGAATGCATGGGTTCCATGTTCAGAAGTAACATCTACAGTTATATTTTTATAAAATGAATTCATTTTCATACATGGAATGCAAACATAGGTCAGCTATTTCAATCATTGCAAACATAAATTTTTCCAGGGACTGATATTGAAGCAAAACAAAAAAAGATAAAACAACGGGCAACCTTGGATGCGGTTCAATTGGATGGGGAAAAAATTCTTTAGACAGCACATGTTGAAGGGTCTGCATGACATGCCTCATCATGGGTCAAGTCAAATCTGGCTGCTTAGCAAGCTGCTTAGCAAGAGCAGCACAGCTCCCTTTGGGAGAGGGGACTGGTAGCAACAATCTCTCTGCCCCCTGCTGTGATCCCTTTTGAGCTCACAGTGACTTTCCCCACCATGGATTGTGGAAGGTGGCCGTGAAGCCACCTTTTGTGGTCCCTGTTTTGGCAGTCAGGAACAGTCCCTCGTAGGTGCCTCAGTGTCAGATTGAAGGAGTCGCCCAACATCTTTTGAAGTTTATTCTCATGCACAGATTATGCATTTTAACAAAGTCTTAATCCCATTTGCACAAATGCAATAATTTACACTAGCTCAAATAGATGGATTTCAAGCCTTTGGTAGGACAGTGTCCCAGGGGTGCCTATTGCCAAGAGGCAGCAGGTACTCACCCATGAAATTTATTCTCTTCCCCCCACTTAAAAAAAAGGCAGTCAGGGAATACCAAGCCATGAAGGATGCTCTTTGCTGAGAGATGGGCATTTTTAGGGCTTTGCAATCCCTTCTCAAATGCTCTCCCCTTGCCCCACACACTCTTTGGCCTCCATGGGGGAGCAGCTTCTGACCTTGTCTCAAGCCTTTGTGGGCTCAGGAAAGACTAAAAGTGCACCCTCCCCCCTTTTAAAAAAGGGGAATCCCAGTTTCAGAGAGAGCTGACAAAATTCATGATCCCTTTAAAAAGAGGGTTCTTTTAGTAGGATGAAGGGGTTGGGCTGAGATATACCCAGAGGTTGTAAATCCTGAAAAGGATCTCCTCCTCATAAAAGGCCCCTTTCTTACAGCTTCCCTTTGCAGTTCACCTTCAGCCAGCTGACAAGGAAACCAGTGAGGGGGCAGGAATGCCCCAGCTGGGGTAATGTCCAGGGCGAGTTCCTGCTGTTTGACACTCACCTGTTTACATTTATGTGAATGATCACATTTGCACATATTTTTTTAAAAAATAAAATATGTTGCACACTTATTAAATATACCTTTCATAACCTCAAAAAGGGGGGTGGGGGTGAAGGCTATGGGCATCCCAAAAGGGCTGGTATATAGGATGGGGGAAAAGTGGGGCGGCAACCCACAATTTGCCCGATTATCCTTTGGATCCATGGTCTCTTGGGTACATCATGGGGTCTCAGTTGATTGATCTACACTGCATGGCTTGTCCTACAGTGTGGGTTGCACTAGTGTCTAAACTTGCTTGGTGCCTTTGTATGCCTATCCTGTAAGGCAACTTATAATAAATTAGAATGTAACATTGGCTGCTTCTTGAAGCTGTTCA